ATATTTCAAATACAAAGTACATGTATATTACAGTATTTAAATATATGATGATATTTTGAGGCTACATCAACACCCACTGTGTTACAGTGCTGGTTTTAGAAGCAGTCCAGGAGAAGGTTCTGTTTCAAGGCTGGTTTTACCTGGAAGCGGTGGAAGTCAGCAGGCTTGAAGTCATTGGGAGAGCATCCACACCAGTCCACGATGTGCTTGTATTGACACTTACACCCCAGTTTACGGTTCCAGTTTGTGATGCGCAGGTTGTTATCCACCATGCTCTCACAGTGGGCACTGTTCTCCAGCACAGTGTGGAAGAACGACTGAAAAATGAGAAACAAGAGATTGGTTTGGGAGATAAGGGAAGAATAAAGACAGAGACACCAAATTGGAAAATTATGTATCTATTTTTTTTTTTTACAATCCAATTCACAGCAGGAAATAATGCAGGAGCTACAAAAAGGAGATTCACAAGACCTGACGATAAACATTCAATTCTCCTATAAAAATTTATTTTTCTATCCAACATCTGTGTCTGCATCTTCCGTCACTGTAGGATTTTTTCCGCCTTGCCTTTGAGTCACCTCTCAGCAATGAAATGAAAATGTTTTTAATAAAAGATGCAGCAGAAGTACAAAGCAGTGTTATCTGCTGGAGCTCAAACAAAGAGGTGAACTCATAAGAGCCTTGTCCGTGTGTGCGTCTGTTACCTCAGCAGGTAGCAGGGTGTAAGCGTAGAACTGCTTCATATTGGTGACCAGGTCGTCCTTGGAGTTGATCACATATTCAACAAACATGCGGTTGAGAAGGAACCAGTCGGACCCACCGTCCACAGAGACGCCCTCGGGGATCCGTCGATCGCCCAGCCTCCACATGTGAGTGTCACACTCGTAGAACAGGCGATCTAGACCCTGCTTACGGATAAACCTGATGAACAAAAACACAAAGCTGATTATTGTAAAAGCTGCCTCACTTTTTATCATTATAAAATCACTGAAAGCTTTAACTGAACTTGACAAGTCAGTTTTCTCTTATTTATTTTTTGCTAAGGATTACTGTGCTGCACTTTACCTAGACCTGTCCAAAGCTTTTGATATTGTAGATCGTGACATCTTATGTCATAAGCTCTCAGATATTAGTTTCTCAGATCATACTGTTGTTTGGTTTTCTAACTATCTCTCAGATTGGAGGCAATATGTTCAACACAACGGTACTTCGGCTAGCTATTTAACAGTCACTAATGGTGTGCCACAAGGCTCAGTTTTAGGACCCGCTCTTTTTACAATTTATATTACGATAATAATGTAGGTCAAAACATTCCTGACGACTGAAGATGTTTATAGTATTTTACCTTGTTTAATATGGCATCTCGATTTGACTGTTTATAACTAATTTCATTTGATTTTAATTGCTTTTTGTTGATTTATTGTTTTCTGTACTTTACATGTTATCTGTCTAAGGTCGTTTTTGAAAATGAGTCCTCATGACTCAATGAGAGTAACCTGTATAAATAAAGGTTGAATTAATTTTTTTTTTCTTTTTACCAAATAATCTGTATATTGTGCACCTATAGGCTTCTTTTAAGGCAAGCCAACTTGTAGTTCCTAGTAATAAAATCTAATAATCTCACTTAAAATTATTTTTAATTGTGATTTTCATTGAAGAAACGGCATGTTTTTGATTAGAATGAATAGAAAGGAAACATGAAAATAGGCGTGAAAAGTGCATATACAGTCTATCGTTCAACTGCTTCCACTTGTTGGTGTAGACTCTCAGTCATTAGGACAATTCAAGAAAACTAGACGTCTTTTCTTGTTTTTTTTTTTGTTTTTTTTGCTTTTAGTTCAAGATTCTTCAGTTCAAACTGAAAGGTGTTGAGTTTTAAGCTATATTACTGTAGTGAGTTGCTCTGTTGTTTGGGTTTGACAATGTTCACATTTTAAACAAAGATAGGTGGTTTGAGAGAGTGTTAAGGAAGCCCTCTTATGTTACTAGAAAAACTAACTTGATTTAGAGGTTGCAAATTCTAGAGCTCTATTTCTGCACTGTACAGGAGCTTTCTAACCCATCTGAGGCTACAGCACGGAATATCAAAGTCTAAAAATCACAACGGTATATAATAACTGAGCTGGGCTGAAACAAGTACCATGTGGGCAACAAAACAATGTGCATGGTCTGAAATACAGTTTTGCGAGCTGTGCACATGAAAATAGGCTGTGATTTTCAAAATTTGCCTGCTCAATACACAGCCAATACACTGCTTTCTGGTCACTTGGTCACAAATACTTTTATAGTGGAAAATTTAGTTTTTTTTTTTCCAGTTTTGAGTCACAAACTTGTCTTCTATGTTGCTATGTTTGAGATGAGTTTGTGGCTACTCTGAAAGAAAAATTTAACACTTTTTTTTTTTAACATGCTCAAAGTTCAAGCAAGAAGTCAACGAGCCTCTGAGTCAAACAGGGAAATTGATATTTTGAGACATTATGGAGAATCCAGCAGTCACAGCCCAGTAACTTACTACCTTTTGTTTTCAACTTCTCAGAACATGCAGTCATTTAGAATCTGATTCCTGGACAGTTTTACTCCATTTTACACCTTCATGCATTTCTTACATGAAACAGACCAACATAAACCCAGCAACCTTTAGGCGGGAAGGAAGGGAGAAGGCTTTGCATGTGAGATCAGCCTACATAAACACATCAAGTTACAGCAGTGTTATCACTTAAAACTCTGCATGTTTCAGTTTGAACTGAGAAAGCCCCTCGGTTGAGGAAGAATACATGCAAGAAACTAAAGCAAAGTCCGAACACCTTTTAAAAAGAATTCCCTGAGGATCATGGCTACAGTTGCTCACTAAATACTACACTGCACAGTTTTAGGCGAGGCTGACGCTCTGCATATGTAATGAGTGCCGTTACTCCTGCAAGCAGATCGAGAGTTAGATGGAGGTAGTCAAAATTACTGTATTTTCCAGCCTATAAGTTGCCATTTTTTTTGCATAAATTGCATGTCCTGCAACTTATACACCGAAGTGATTTATTTATGTTTTTTGTTCCCATATTTATAAACCAATTTTTGGCTGAGATTTGACGTTTTCATTCATTCTGACATTGGAAATATTGAACACTACCATTTTCAGCCGCTAGATGGCGCTCGAGTAGTATAGCATGCCGTTATGTCATGTAATAAGTAAAAGTGGCTATTAATGACACTATTGGCTTGCCATAGTCTTCGACCTTCATCCAGCTCCAGGATCATGCCTGGAGCAAACGTCAACTCAGCTTCATTTCGCTGCACCGCCTCGGAGAAATGCAGCTAATTTTATCATCAAAGTGCATTTATTAAGGAAAGGTTAGACTGAGTTACACCGTTGCTATAATTTCAAGCAAACATCTAACTGTTTTTAAGTGTTAATCTTGTGAAATTCTTGTTAAACTCCTCCCGTGCACACTCCTGTGGCTGCCATTTGGCAGCCAATTGATTTTTGGCACACCACCACACCACACATCCGGGTTGTCAGTGTTGACGCATAATACATGCAACATATACGGTGACACGACGTACATTAGTTATGTTTTTTCTCACTTTATTAGACATATTTGGACTGAGGCGACTCATACGGCGGTGCGACGTGTACGGCGGAAAATACGGTAGGTCAACTAGGTTAGCTTGTTCGTTCTGCAATCTGAATGGCGACAAAGACTGTTGATGCACAGAACCTGTGGCTGACAGAAACACACACAACGACAGAGTAAAAGTCATCATGTGTATATATCAGTGTGTTTGGGTTAAAAAAAGAACATGGGCTCCCATCAGACTGCGGCACTAAATAAAAGAAAGTGACTGTAAGCACAAAAAGTGCTGCTGAGTCACACTGAGTCATACATCCTTGCAGGTCTTTTTGTTTTTTTTTTTTGTCCTGCACTTTGGGGTGTTTCAGACTGGTTTGCCACCAGGGTGTGATGGGGCAGAAAGCAGGATGGTGTCAGCATCGATGGACGCTGTGGCGATGACCTCGCCAACTCCTCCCGCCAAGAAGGTTAATTAATGAAGCCCACAGATGGGAGCTAATTGTATTATGATTCAGTGTCCGCACTGTGCTGGCAAGAGTGCGCCGTAGGTGCAGCCAGTGTGTGCACGAGTGAGCAAAAGAAAAACATGAATCAAGCTGAGCAGAAAGCTGCTGAGCGAGATGTTAAATTGTAGTTTTAAAATTTGCATCTTACCTTGCATTGTCCCTGCCATGGGACTTAATGAAATTCATGTCTCTGTATTTGGACAGGAAGGCCACCAGCTGGTTGTTGGTCCTAAAAATGAAAGAAAGAGATTTACTTTTGACTGCAAACATCTGGCGAGGTCTGTTCTAGCAGTGGGAAATTGATCCTGCAGCACAAATTCTAGGGGCAATGCCATTCGGAGGACTGTTCTGCCAAATGGGTTCATCTTTTACAACCTGGCTTTAAAGAGGACGTGTAAAATATAAATTATATAGAATTAAAGGATTTTGAGATAGACCAACACTAAAACCACCACTTGAAACCAAATTAAACTTAAAACTAAGTAAAGACAATGACATGAAACGTGATTTAATCCTAGATTAAAAAAAAACCCCGTAAATTAGAACAGATACCTTCATCACATTTTTGCATCTTCTTTTTCAATAGATCCTTTAGGATTTTGGACTAGAGTTTAGAAAACACCTGTTGGTGTGTATGTGTGTGTGTGTGTGTGTGTGTGTGTGTATATATATATATATATATATATATATATATATATATATATATATACACACACACATATATATATTTGTGTGTATCTTTCTATAATAATTTAAAAAAATACACAATTGAGCCAAAAAACTCCAGTTCTGTCTTCTCAGTCCAAGAAATTTGTCAACATTACAAGCAGGTCTCTCTTGAAAATGAGTCCTTGTGACTCAGTGAAGCTACCTGTATATTTAAAGTTGAATAAAAAAAATACAATAAATAATAAAAACGTTTTTTGGTGGTTGTTTTTTTTTTTTTGTATTTTTCAGTCGATGGTGAAGTCCTCCTGAATATTCTTCTGTGGAGATCAATATAATTCAAAATGTGATGGATGGTGCACTCATAAAGGGATGCATTTTGGACTTGGAGTTCTGCTTCAATGGTTGTGGATATTTTCCTTGGCTCTTTTTCTACTATTTGCACTATTTGACTGATAAGCCTGGGGTTGCATTTCCTCTTGCGTCCACATCCTGGATTGTTAGGTACAGTTCCAAGAATTTTTTTTGTTGTTGTTGTGATATTGCCAGCTGTTGTCATAGCTGTTGTGAAGCTGCCTTTACCTTTAACATATTTTTACTGAGCTCCTTCAACAGCTCTAGCCTTTTGTTTCTCTGCTCCATGTTCAGTAGTGCACAGAATGATCCCAAACTACTGTACAAACTACATGTTCGTTACTTTTAAATAGGAGGAATGGCTGAGGAAAATCCTGAAGGCACCTGTGATACCAATTAAGGTCTAACAATTCATTTGAAACATGGTTATAATGCAATAATTAATAGTCTCTTTAACAGTACAGTAGTCCCTCGCTACCTCATGGTTCGACTTTTGCAGACTTGCTCTTTCTTGGTTTTTCAAAGATTGGACATGACACGCAAGTGGCTGATAGATAGATGAGTCACATAATCGGCATCAATTGTTTCATTTAAAATAAATTATTTTAAATTATTTAGCACCTTTGTGCAGCTCACAGGTGCAGGAAGAAGCTCTCTCTGCAGCCTGTCATGATCTCCACTCTCTGCCACCTACGGCTCTCTGCCACGCCCACATTTCTCCTCTGGCTGAAGCGGCTTCGTGAAGGGTTAACCCTTTGCTGTCCAGCTGCACCAATCGACTTTTGTCTTCCAACTTAAAATTCAAAGTATGTCGCATCGTAAATCGTCACAATCACAAAATATAAAAGTGTTATTTTGTTAACCCTTTGCTGTCCTGCTGCACTTCTCTACAATTTAAATTTAAATACTTTAATATTTTAAATAAACAATCAGTAGTAAAACTTTGAACGGACTACACTATGTTTACTACTACTAATGTAGTACGACTGGTTTTTTTTTTATCTGTTGCTGCTGTTGCTGCTGATACACTGGAATTTCCCATCCGTGGGACAATAAAGGCTGTTTCTATTCTATTCTACTATCCCTGTTTCGCTGTTTTTCCATTTATCGCGGGGGTGGTGGTCCCGTAAACCCCCCGTAATAAACGAGAGACTACAGTAACAAATCAGATTGGACTATTTTAGCACATTTTTTGATAAAAATAAACCATAATAAAATAATTTCTTTTCACATTTTATCTACACTATCACATACTAAAAGAAATTGCTTTTAACTGAATCAAGTTTCATAAGAAATGAAGCAGTATGTCAATGAGCTGTAATTGTACCAACACATGTATATGTACCTACACCCAAATGTGAGTACCATATTTTTTGGACTATAAAGTGCACCGGATTATAAGGCACAATATCAATGAATGGGTCTGTTTTCATACATAAGGCGCACCGGATTATAAGGCTCACTGTCGATTTTTGAGAAAATTAAAAGATTTTAAGTGCGCCTTATAGTCCAAAAAATACGGTAGAAGCGATCTGCTTATTTGTTCCTAAACACAAATTTAAGCTTGTTATTCAAATAAAACAAGAGGTTTTTGATTAAAAGCTGAGACGCTTAATGTTTGTTGTAGCCCTGACTCTATATGTGATAACATTTTAACATCTCTCACCCATATTTGAGCTTCGCCCAGAAATAACTGATAAAGCAAGATACTGTAATTTGTGTTTCATTGTTACTTTGAGGGACTGGAAAAACACATTTCTGTAAGTGGTGGGATTCTTTATCAGTCCTTGTGTTTGGATTGTTATTGGTGCTTTTAAGTGGGTGGAAAATTATGTCTAATACTGTATAATAATAATAATAATACATCAGGTCTCTTTTGTAAATGAGTCCCAGAGGCTCAATTAGATTAACCTGTATAAATAAAGGTTGTAGTTACTACCATTTTCTCTAAATTCTGATTGTGCCACATTTATAACCCTAGTCTAGCAGATCAGTGTATTTGAGGGATAAATCTATTAGAAAAAACAAACACCAAGAATGGCAATATTTCTAAAATTCACATTAGGCTTTATTCTTGTGGCCAATAGTGAGGATATCAGCGAGCTAAGAAGAAAAAAATAAAATGCGAGGAAACGTATTGATAAAAGACATCTGGTTGTCTTTTTCTATTTGAGGTTTTAAACAACCACATCACAGCTATGTAAACTGCTTCCTGCACCACAACTGGCTTCCAAAGTATTTATAACGCCACATAAGCAAGCCTATAAATCTTACATTTTTAGTGAGCGCAGAGGAACTTTCCCCTTCAGTAGATGAAACCAAGCTTTTAAATTCCAAACTCCACATACATCATGTCGCAAATCCAATTGAAGGAACAATACCACAAACACATTCCTGAGCGGAGGGGGACTTCAGTGTTACAGAGGAATATTTGAGGTTTTGAAAGCAAATGCTGACGGGCGTCGAGTCACATAGCGATCAATTAAAGACCTCGGCCAATCCCAGTATCAGTCGTTCGGTTCCTTCAAGCTGTTAAACCTATTTATGATAATACAAAAGAACGTGCTATCCATGATTTTGATGAATGACTCCATGCTGCTCCAACACTGTAGAGGAGTCTACTTCCTCATGCACAGGCTAGACAGGCTAAAAGCTTTGCTCTGCAGGCTATGCCCCAGTCAATGGCTCTAACATTTCATCTGTGGTGGAACCTTTCATGATGGCTTGGCTTGTCTTTCTAAAAGAGCAGTGAGGCTCAAGGATCAGTGGGGGGAGGGACAAGTGCATATTAATGTCATTTTCCCTTGAAGGAGCAATTTCACAGCCTGGGGGGCTTATCTTAGGAGGTCTTGAGCCATAAAGCCTGACTGATGATGTGCTCTGTTTCGACTTCCCCTGCACACATTGTGTAGCGGCTCGTATGCACACAGACAATATAAAATACAGTGCTGAACACAGACACACAAATGCCCGTGGGCATAGACACAAACACACACACACACATGCACAGACACTAAACCGGGGGAATTCATGTCAAGCTCCAGATTTGCCACCTGAGTGGACACCCTGTCCACTGGGTGCAGTTTGGTTACTGTCAGCCCTGTAGTCACTCTGTCTCACAAAGGTGTGCACACACACGTGTGCATGCACAGACACACAAACACATGCACACACGCACACACGCACATTACTGTAATCTTCCAAGCTTTTGATTTTATTTAATATTTACTTTAAAGTGTTGTAGCTGATCTCTTTAAGCATTTTTCTCAAGAAAATATTAGATTAGATGTACTAAATTGTGACTAATGTTTTTGTTTTTTTCCAGAGGGAATGTAATCCAAGATTGCTTTACGATTAAAATTAAATCAAAAGTTCATACATTTTGAAGTGGGGTTTTGTGGAAAGATTTTGAACAACAAATATCTCACCTGGTGCATGAAGCTGTTTCAATGACCTGAGGTTGGAGAAGATAACATCTAGTTCAAATGAGGCTAAGAGCAAATTGGACTTTATGCAAAAGCTATTTTATAAACCTTTGCAATATCAGCAGTTTTACATTATGCAACCATTTACAAATAATCTTGTGGTTATTTGCAAGCACAACGCTGAAGCAAGCGCTAACTATAGCCTGTGGTACTTCTGGTAGGTATGTTACAACATTCTGCCAGAATGAAGATGGAGTACTGTAGTCCCTCGCTACTTCGCAGTTCGTTTTTCGCAGACACGCTCTTTCGTAGTTTTTCAAAGTAAGATTGGACATGACACACAATTGGCTTATTGATGGATGAGCCACATGATCGGCATGGAATTTTTAATTTAATATTATTTAGCACCTGACTGAACAGAAGCTCCCTCCTGCAGCATGCCAATCTCCACTCTGCAGCGGAGAAGTGGGCGTGGCC